CGATAATGCTGTACAAGTTGGATTTAAATCTAAATTTTGTAAAGAAAACAAAAGATAAGTTAGTATAAATCCAAAAACTTTTGCAAAAGTCTCCACATTTTCAGTGAAGAAACTAACCATAAATGGAGACAAGGAGGGGCGACGCAGTAGCAGTCTCTTGTTGGGGAGGTAAGGTAGAGGAGATAAAGGCTGGATTTTGAACCTACAAAAATAAAAAATGGGCTCCCATTTATCCAAATCCAAATTTAAAATATATAACTTTCTAAATAGAAAATCAATATAAAAGTCATTATAAATCAATAATTTAAAATCAATAACTTTATATATAAAAATTAGATATAAATAGCACTTTAGTACAATACCTATATGCATCTAAAACTCAAACTCAATTTCAATTTCAACTTCAATCTCAAACACAATACTCAATTTCAATATATCATTTTTATTTTTGCAAAGTTCAATTTCTATATTCTTAAAACAAATTGTATACGATAGTAGTAATGTGCCGTCCCCTTCTAACATCAATCATTCAGCTATAACATTTTTTCTTCTAATGTTTTACATTAATCATTATTCAGCTATAACACTTTTCTTATAATGTTTCGTTAAAAAGAAACAAATCTTATGGACCCATTTTCCAAATAAAAACAACTGTTATTTAATTGGATCATGCACTTGTTCAACATCATGTTATCATCTACCTTTGAATGGGGGCATGGCCCTTTTATGTAACCAAACAAATCAAGGGACAGCAACCAAACAATGTCTAAACACATTAATGTAGTTATCTATTTAGTCATAATAAAAAACCACAAAAGAAGTCCAAGTTCTTGTCTTGTGTTCCTCCCCCTACTCTCTTCGCTTCACCAGCAATAAAGGAGAATTTCCTGGTTTTTGTATTGCTTTAGTCTCAACAAATTCCCAACTTCCCTGCTCCTCTGTTTTTCTCATCCCCTTTCTATTATTTTCATTTAAAGATAACTCTTCCTTTTAAACTCTTCATATTTTTGAGAGCATCCCAGAGCAAGAAACCAAAGAAATTATAAGTAAGAGAGAGAGAGAGAGGAAGAAGAAAACCAGAGAGTCTTTTGGAAACAAGGAAGAGAAAGAAAGACAAAAGGGTTCAATAAAAGATCGTTACTTTTTCATTTACCACTTTTTTTACTCCTCTTCCTCAAAAATGTCAATTACACCGGCTGGAAGCTTTCCTATTGGATTAGAAGAAGTTCATAATCAACCACAACAAAAACAAGAACAAGTTACAGAGCTAACTGATCATTTTCATGGCTTGAACTCGTCGTCTTTGATCAGAACTAAGAGCAACGGTTCCAACTCTACTCCATTACCTGTTAAGAAGAAGACCAACCAAATCTGCCAGGAACTCCAGGTAATAATTAATTTAAATTCAATTTCTTTCAAGAACTATATGGGTTTTTTTTGTTTTCTGACTTTTGATTTTATTTCTGTTTAATTATTCAAAAATTAAATTTGAAGTTTAATTGTCCATTAATAAATGTTAATTCAAAAGGGTTAATCTAAATTAATATTGAATGCATAATGGTTTCAGGATTCATTTTCCTTTAACTCAGCCTAAAACTGTATTTTTTTGGATCAAAACAAAAATGCAAAAAGCCAAAAAGAAAAGAGAAAAAAATGTGTTGGAGAAGACAAATTCAATTCATGAAGATAAGATTAATATTCTTTAAAATTAAATAATATTTTTTGGAAGATTATTTTAATTTTGTTGATAAGAAAATATTGTTGAATTATTGATTTCAATTATTGGTATGGACATGCCTCAATCATTTATGTACTAGTAAAGTTTTGGCTTTTCCCCAACTTTTTATCCCATCTTTTTTTTGTTTCTAGCTTTTACAAATAAAAGAATATGCACATCCATATTCCAACAGCAAATCTGGAAAATTTGTTAAAATTTAAAGGTGTGTACATAGGTTTCAAGTTAGTAATTAAAGTATTTAATTTGTTGGTTCAA